CACCATTTACAGATCTGGTCCGGACATGGTGTGAACATAGCCTCACACCAAAATCAGAAAGTACTGTATTTGCTGGCGTATAAGACGACCCCCTACTTTTTGTGTTAAAATATAGGTTTTGGTTACCCCCGATTTTCGGGGGATGTTTTAAGGTCTCAAAACCCATCTTATACGCTGGCAAATACGGTACTCGCTGGTCAACTCCAGTCTGTTGACTTGAGATTGTACCTTCCGACCCGTTGCATTTAGTCTTTTTTTTTTTCCTTGCAAGCCTTATGTGACATAACGTGTCCTGAGTGGACATACTGTATTGTAGTAACTTGCATTAGCACGCATCTTTGATGTGTTGCGTTGCTCTGGGAAAAAAAGTAGAGCAAGCTCTGCCTTTTTTTTCAACGCACCACAGGTCCAATCCAGGAGCAGGCAGGATTGGATTTTTTTAGGAGCCAGCTCCATTAACAACTACAGAAAACCTAAAAAGTTAACCCTGGTTCACACCAAGGCGTTTTTGAGCAGTTCGAAAAAGCCCTTTTAACTGCCCAACACAAGAAATTCCATGATTTTCAATGGCTCTGGCTCACACCTGAGCAGAAAAACGCCTTGCAGGAAAACGCCAGATGTGAAAAGATATAGGAGCTTCTTTGGGCAGTTAAAAGCTTTTCCTCCCCATAGACTTCATTGGAACTGCCCAAAACCGCTCAACAGAAGCATGTTGTCAATTAATTCTGAATGAAGGGTCTAAAAACGATGTCAAACTGATGCCATCGGCACAAGACCAAGGCCCGTTGCCACAGGTCATGATAAAAGGAAACCTGCCCTGAGAAGAACTTGCTATCATTGCATGCTCACCTTCAGATTTTTAGGGAATTTACCGAGAATCAGTGGCAGTGTGCAGTCATTTCACAGTAACTGGTGATTTAATTTTTGTATCCACCGCAGGTTCACTGGAACATGACCTGTTGAGGGTAGTTGAGCACTGTAGATAAGAAACACTGCTTTAAACCCTTGGTTCTCAACTAGTGGGTCGTGACACAAAAGTGAGTTGCGACCCCGTCTTCAGTGGGTCACCGCATGTCTTCCACTTTTCTAGGTGGGAGGCTTCTCAGCCTCCCACTGGTGCAGCACTGTCAGTTCTCACGCCAAACAGCCATTTAAAATATGCTGCATTGTGCTGAGTGTCAGCTTGAGGTGGGGTGGGCTTGGGCTATGGCCGCGAGAGCGTTCCATTCATACGTGCATTGCTTACAGCTCCCTCACGTGTCCTTTAGAGATGCCTGGACCGGAGTGACGGGGCATGCAAGGAAGCTGTACAACCAATGCACATATGGAGATAGCTCCGTCAAAGTACAGCAGCCCACACTGGACCCCAGGCTGAGGATCCAGTTCTTGTAAGGTGGGGAGACTGGGCGAAAATAAAAATGTCTTGGAGTATGCATGTTTGTGTGAGATTGTCTGTGGTTGTGTGCATCTGTCTGTGTTTTTGAGGACCCGTTCACACTAGTACAGTGCGTTAATCGCACTGTCCCATGCAAGTAACGCACTGCACCACGCAAAATCGCACCTAACACAAATTCTGGTGTGGGAGATGTGTTGTATTGCTATTCATTTAAATGGCACCCCAAACGTACCGCCCGCACCGGAACGCACGGTACTGCAATACCTTGCATTCCAGTGTGGTGCGACTTGGGTCATGACTTAATGACCACGGACAAATGTGGATCCTGAGGATACACAGGTTGAGAACCATTGCTTTAAACTATACTAACCAATTATCAGCTGCCAGGCTACTTATACTAAAGTCTCATTGACTTCACTATTTCTCTTAGTAACACAAAGGTATCACTACTTCTCTTAGCAACACACAGGTATCACTACTTCTCTTAGCAACACACAGGTATCACTACTTCTCTTAGCAACACACAGGTATCACTACTTCTCTTAGCAACACACAGGTATCACTACTTCTCTTAGCAACACACAGGTATCACTACTTCTCTTAGCAACACACAGGTATCACTACTTCTCTTAGTAACACACAGGTATCACTACTTCTCTTAGTAACACACAGGTATCACTACTTCTCTTAGTAACACACAGGTATCACTACTATCCTCAGGAACACACAGGTATCACTACTATCCTTAGGAACACACAGGTATCACTACTTCTCTTGGTAACACACAGGTATCACTACTTCTCTTAGCAACACACAGGTATCGCTACTTCTCTTAGCAACACACAGGTATCACTATTTCTCTTAGCAACACACAGGTATCACTACTTCTCTTAGCAACACACAGGTATCACTACTTCTCTTAGCAACACACAGGTATCTCAACACAATATAGAAAATGACCATTGAGTCTAAATCATGCCAAAAAACATCAATAATGCACAAATCTCTGTCCAGGCCCGGGGGGAACACTTCCCTCTAGAGTCAGTCATTATCAGTACATAATAAGGCGGTGTTGGACAGAAGTCCGTTATACTGCTTTGTAGTCACGGCCAAAAATATGCAGAATTACAACAACCCTGTCTGTCTTCCTTTCCACATTATATTTGTGACTTAGGAAATGGGACATTTGATGCACGCCTGCTTGCCAGGATGTGACCTGAATTCATATACAAGTCTATGTTCAGTACAATAAAGTCCATTCACAGCAGTAACAATCATTTCGCTCTATCTGGAGCGGAGAAAGAATATAGGCAGAAGGGGAAAAAATCTTACAGGGAACCGCGAGCTATGAAGTGCAACAAGCAAAGCGCCCGGGGGAACTGCTGTGGTGGAGAGAGCAGCTGGAAAGACTACAAACATGACTGGCATACTGTAACCAAGAGAGGGATCCATCTGGCGGCACCATTTATAACACAGAATCTGACAGACACAAAGCAACTGCCAGGGGAAGCCAACCAACAAGCCGGATACATAACTTCAGCAGAGGGCGTCACAATGAGCCACACATACTGGATATACAATCACTGCACACAGTAGTCAGTGGTCATAGAGAGTGGGGTCTACGTTATACATGTACATACAAACACATTGGGGGGAATTCATGCATGTACATACAAACACATTGGGGGGATGCATACATGTACATACAAACACATTGGGGGAATGCATACACGTACAAACATATTGGGGGGAATTCATACATGTACATACAAACACATTGGGGGGATGCATACATGTACATACAAACACATTGGGGGGATGCATACACGTACAAACACATTGGGGGAATTCATACATGTACAAACAAACACATTGGGGGGAATTCATACATGTACAAACAAACACATTGGGGGGAATTCATACATGTACAAACAAACACATTGGGGGGAATGCATACATGTACATACAAACACATTGGGGGGAATGCATACATGTACATACAAACACATTGGTCGGAATTCACACTTGTACAAACAAACACATTGGGGGGAAATCATACATGTACAAACACATTGGGGGGAATGCATACATGTACATGGGGGGAATGCATACATGTACATGCAAACACATTGGGGGAATGCATACATGTACCTACAAACACATTGGGGGGAATTCATACACGTACGTACAAACACATTGGGGGGAATTCATAGAAAGGAACTTAGATAAACTGTCAATTCAACTGGAACTCAGCCAATCGGCTTTTACGTTTTCATGTTCTAACAAATGAAAGAAAGGAAGTGATTGGTTGCTATGGGTAACGGCACTAGCTAAACCGGAAATTGTTTCAGTAAATTTGTGTTAATTTCCCCCGTTCATAACAATGTAATATGCAAACTGCACAAATATACATAAAGTATTGTAAACAATGTACAGTACAAGGAGCAATGAAACCCCCAAATGTGTAATAATAATAATAAACAAGTGGGGGTCACTGTACACGTTCCATGGTCAGTGTACAATATAAAGATCTACTCTGTGACCTCTGATATCCCTCCATGTTTCAGCTAGAGAGAGATCACTCCAGTTAGACTTTCCTGTGTACTGGCCAATGACACAACATGCTTGTGTTTACTTACTGGGATTAATGTTTAACTACGTTCCAGCATGTCACACCAAACAAAGATGAGTACACCCCGCATGTAACGGCCAATGTTTGTACAGGATGGAATATTCCTGATGAATAGCTATGACTGTACATCAATAAAAGCATACAGTACACGATGAGATATTTACAGAAGTCTGTACAAGACATAGGCATGCATTTCTTTGACTCATAGTATACTGTGTATAGACATGTTGAAGTAGACTGCACAGCTTGCAATGTGTACATCTGCATCGCAATGTATACAGACAAACACATGCATGTGACAACGTATACTGTGTGTGTCAGTGTATGCTGTCTGCAAACCTGTGTGTGTCACTGTACACACTTAATACAAATGTACCAGCAAAGCTTAATGTATACAGACAAAGATATATATGTATGTGTGTGTTCTTATACTGAAGAGTACAGATACATATGTGAGAGGGTATTGTGTATGGGGTGTAAGTACCTAAGTGTATATAGAATATGGGTACCTCAGTGTATTCAATGTACAAAAACTTACAAATATATATCTTCTTATAATGAAGAGTACAGTATCCAGATACATATGTATCAGAGTGAATGGCATGTGGATTTACAGAGCTCAATATACAGTGCTTGGATATATATGTACCTATCTCAGTGTATACAAGATAGATAGACAGCCAGAGTACAGTATACAGATACACATTTAAAGAGGGAATAGTATAAGGGGTGTGAATGTACATAGCTCAGTGTACAGTGCTGGGATATGTATGTGGGTACCTCAACCTCAGTGTATACAATATATATATATCTATATATCTATATATATAAATGCATACACACACTGAAGAGTGCAGTATACAGATGTGTATACAATGCAGTAAATACGTCAGCATGCACAGTATTGTAATGTATGAGGTCAGGTCTGTACACAGCTGTGACACCACTAGCCATGCCATGGTGTGTACTCACATAGTGTTTGGAGGGGTTCCTCCTCTTCTGTACATCCTGCACACACACATCCAGCACAGCCCGGGACATCATGCTGGAGAGCGGCTAATACACAGGCTGCAGCTTTCTAGGAATAGGTCATGGTGGAGGGAAGAGGAGGAGGGGGGTTGAAATGGTGCGATGGCTCCTTCTCCCAGGCCCACGTCACACAGCCATGTTGTGGTCAGGCAGAGTGGCAGGGAGCAGCTGCTGCTCAGAGGTTCGGTGCGGCTCCTCTCAGTGCCATGTGCTGCCTCTGATGATGATTACACTGCCATGTGCCGGGCCCGCCTGGAGGGAGGGGCGCCCTCTGCTGTACTCGTCGGTTCATCCCCCTCATGGCGGAGAGCCGACACCCCCAACATATAAGACTCCCCTCTTCTGCTCCGTGCCCGGGCTGTGTGTGTCCGCTTCTTTGTCCTCTCACCGGGTATCATTCCCGGGGCTCAGTGGTCAGCCGGTACACGGGGGACCTCCACCGCCGGGGGCAAGGGTGGAAACCACCGCCAAATTTAAACCCCTCAGCAAGCCGTACAGCCAGGAGCACGAATGGCAAATACAGATGTTATGTAATAAAATAAATCTGCCGACAGAACTTTTTTTAAAATTTTGTATAGAGTGGGGGAAGGGTTACACCCTCTGTCATTTACTGTCTGTGTCCCCATATTGGAGAGATTTACCCCTTATACTGACAGGAAATTGGCCGGGTGGGTGGTGCGTCACTTACAGTTTGGCATGGTCTTGGGTGAAGTGGGTTCCCACCAAGCCCCTGCACATCACTACTGGTAACCAATGGCATCTAGAAAGGGAGCAGCAGACATCATTCTCACACATGGATTGGCCTCCACAGAGTCTAGGACCTGAATCCCACTGAGAATCTTTGGGATGTGCTGGGGAAGACTTTACCAAGATCTTGATGAACAATTAATGCAACTCTGGAAATAAATGTGACATTGCATAAGCTTATAGAAACGATGCCACGGTGAAAGCGTGCCGCAATCAAAGCTAAAGGTGGGCCAATGAAATATTACAGTGTGACTTTTTATATTTAGTAATCTAGTTTTACTATTCTTGTCAAAGGATGGTTTCTACTTGTGGGAATGCTTCATTCATTTATTTCCAAAGCAAGTTTGTGTTCACATCAAATCGCAAGTAATAAAACAACCAAACACCTAAAGTCCACCTAAAGCTGCTGCTATCAGAGTGCCCTCTTACATTAGATGTCCCCATCAGAGTGCCTCCTTACATTAGATGCCCCCATCAGAGTGTCCCCTTACATTAGATGCCCCCATCAGAGTGTCCCCTTACATTAGATGTCCCCAGAGTGTCCCCTTACATTAGATGCCCCCATCAGAGTGCCCCCTTACATTAGCTGCCCCTATCAGAGTTTCCCCTTACATTAGATGCCCCCATCAGAGTGTCCCCTTACATTAGATGCCCCCATCAGAGTGTCCCCTTACATTAGATGTCCCTATCAGAGT